GTAGGTCTGGTCTGTCTAAAAAAACTAAAAATAGGCTACTGTACCCACAATTCCACTGGAATCTATGGTCATGTCTCCAATGAAGCTAGCATTTTTTGCGGTATATTTGCAGACACACCCAGAAACCTTTCGAATCCTTTGAATCATCCAGCTATCAGGTTGCTTTTAATTGGGTGACCAATGGTTAATAGTGGTGGCCCAACTTTGTGAAACATGCGTATGAAGCAACCAAGTTTGGAGTACACCAAACATATGGACGGATATCAGAAATCCTTGATATCCCGGTTGATCAGAAAATTGAGATGAAACAACAAGTGTAGGGGTTCATCATGTCAAACTGGGTACATGTGCTGCAAACTGTGCTGGTATGTTGAGTGGCTCTACGGTACCCTGAAGATGATGTGTTTTGGGGATGCAACGGACCAAAATGATGGGTTCGGTCTAAAGTTGGGGGTACCCATGGGTCTTTTTCCTGCGAGAGAACAATTTCTAAAAGCAGATCTCCAAAAAATGTCATCGCCATAGCCCGACAAGGCAAATAGAACATGATGAACATGACAAAATTACCAAGTCTATAGATGTTTTACAGTTTTAACATGTTTGAACCTGGTATGATGGTTTCCGCATTTTTCCTCAGTTGATTCATCTAGCCATCGCCATTCTCTCCGGGTGGCCAGGAGTTGAGCAGCAGTTCCTCTGCGTTGCTGGCAGAGATCCGACAGGTCTTTTTGGCCAATCAGTTGGGATCTCAGCGCGGGCGAACTCAGCCGCCGAACAACGGTGACGCGGTAGGTGCCTAAGGGATCGGATGGGTCGTTTTTCGAAGCATTTCACAGTTCACCATATGTTCACTATAGTTTAGCAACAATTGGATTGACTAAATATATGATATATATGAGAAATCGATACTTCAATGGTGATTTGCTCCAACAAAAACAATGATCGTTTCACCAACAGAGATCAACGGACACAATATCAGCGAGACCTTGGGAGCTCCTCTAAGGTACCAAGTGGAAACGATTCTCATGGGCTCCAAGGTGGGTGATCTGGGTGATTTCAGGAGCTTTTTGTACCAGTGTTTTCTGGTTGATCTATGTTGATCTAGTGAAATGTGACCCCTTTTTTTGTTTAACCGTGTTGTAATAGTTCCATGTGAAATAAAAGGTTACTGATGGTTACTGTATCTCTTCAGTTGGATTCATTTTTGCGGATCCGCCTAAAGTAGTTGACTGTGGTTGACCACCAGAATGCTGGCGGGACGCAGCCACTGCATAGGCCAGCTCCATGTCAGAGTTCATTTTTGTCGAGAGCCATGATGCTCAGTCGGTCGCGGTGATAGGGGGGTACAATGGGTGCATGATTGTGGGATATGCTGGAGATATCTTATGATATCTTACCATCATGATTGTAATGATATGCAATGATATGCAATGATATGCAATGATATGCAATGATATGCAATCATATCATCAAGGTGTTTCTAGACGACAATGGATTGAATGCCATCCACTGATTACAGTTCAGGTCGTGCTGATGCTTTGGAACAGGGACTCCTTGAGAATGTTGAGGAGAAGAATCCTATGAAGGAGGTGCCTTCGACCGCACTATGTCAATGATTGGCGTGTTTGAAGGAACTTGGTGTGTTCAGATTTGGCTGCTCACTTTAGGTATCAAAGAATCCAATTTGGGTTTCATTTATGTGGTTGCCATATCCAGCCGTCTTAGAGTGTACATGATGGATCATGATGGAGATATACTCAACAGACGTTCGGCATACCGTGGACACCGTAATTATGTGTATAAGAATCGGGTACCCCAAAAACTAGAGGAATGATCAGATCATCATTTTCCATTAAAATGGCTGTTTGCAGGTATAAGTACCCTATAAGTACCATATCCTCAGTCCCCAAGAATTTCCCACGCCAGAACTCCGGGCCAAAGATCCCTGTGGACCTGGTCGTCACTCGGTGTGGGTTGGATGCTGGTGATGGGTTTGGGGATGAGTCATGCACAAAAATTGTCCAGCGCCATTATGGTTGATCATAATCATAGAGTCATAGTGTCTATTTTTTTCTATTATCCTATGGTTCAGCATCTATGTTTCGTACTCTGGGATTTTCACAAATAGTCCATGTCCAATAAAAAACACAAGCATTGACACAGGGTTTGGGGTGTCACTGTGTCACCGATGTTTCCAATCCTTCCCCAAAATAGTATCCAGACCCCATGGGTTTTGGTTGGTGCAACCACTGCCCTTTGTTGCTGGGCCAGTTTTGTTGACTAGATACCCCGTGTTTTCCTTGCTCAAACCAAAAGGCTTGTCTTGCACAAATCCCGTTTTGTTGGTCAACTGTTGGTGAAATGCTTAAATGTTGCTGAAACTGTAAACGGACTTCGTTTCGCACCAACATCAACAATCAGTATTTACATGTACTGTGCTTACATTTTTTTTCTGTACTCTATTGATTCAACAACATATCCTGAGTAGTTGTCAACATCTATTGATAGTAAGTAGTTGTCCTTACCCAGTAATCTATCTATATCTATCTATGTTTTCTTGAGGACAACTTACCCATCTATTGTTTTTTTTTTTGCTGGGTAAGTCACCAAGGACCTGGTGCGAATCTTCTTGCTGCACCGTGTTCTGCCGTACCGACCTGAGATGTAGAAGCCCGGAAGGAAGACCATGTTTTGATCATGGCACATATAATGATCATTAATGATGCCTATACACATTATCATATCATAATCATAATTATAAATTATAAATTATAACCATACATCTGTGACTTGATCACTAGAATAATCATGAATAATCATCATAATGTAATCATGATGTTCTCACCAACTTCATCGCCAGGCTGGCGCGCCTGTGCCAGCTCTTTGGCCCCGAGTGCACCAAGTTGCTGCTCCGCTTGCGGGTGCGGTGATGATGACCTCAACCGGTTAGGGGGTGAACACCATTGATTTACCATGGATTTAGCACGAAAATGATGGTTATAAACCATGTTAAACGACTATTGAACGACATTTTCAACGTGTTAAACCTGGCCCACCCAAAAAATGAGGAAAACAACATGGTTTAGGTTGGCTAAATAGCAAACAATATGCTGAACAATTGACTGTGATGGGTGGCAAGAGATGATCCATAACTTTGGGCAATGCCTGAACATGATTGAACAGATTTCAATGTTTCAGCACTTACAAAATGCTTCTGGGACCAGAAATGACAGGCTATTGTATTGTTTACACCCAACATTTGAGTTATTCTCATATTTTGTTGGTCAACTGTAACATCCCCAGTTCGATTTCTGTGTATTTTTTTAACCTGATGGCGAGTGGCGAGACGTCCCAAATTGATCCATCACTGATCACTGCTCCTGAGGACCTAGAATCTATACCTGGATACCCAAACACATCCAAATTCGAACGGTATGTGTAGATATGTGTTCTTTTCTTATCAAGTTCAATTTGCCATTTATGTGTATTTATATATATACTTACATTTGTAGATACATATATATATATATATATATGAGTGTATCATATAATATATATATATATATGAGTGTATCATATATATATATGAGCGTACTGGTATCATATATGTATATACCTGGAACCCAAATGACCTCTCTTTGGGTGGGCGAATCCTCCAAAAAATAAGGGTCATTGGGGTTCCAGCTTATGCATGCTTATATACGCATACAGTCACCATAATGAACCCACATGAACCCAACATATGTGTATACAATAGAAATCATTGTATAATATATAAATACATATTATGTTATTATTATTAATGTCAATATTACTGGTATTAGTATTATTTATTATTATTAATATTAGTAATTATTATTAGCGTTATTATTATTATATATATTATATATTATATATTATATATTATATATTATATATTATATTATTTATTATTATATTATTTATTATTATTGTATATGTATATATACAGTATATATATACACATACATGCATTTATTTTTACCAAGACAAAGCAAACTAAGCAGTTCATTTGTGGCTCCCAACACTGGGAGGCGATCAGCGCCATCGCAGGGAACGAGTGTCGTTTGGTCGAGCCGGAAGAGGTGCGGTCACCCGGTTGGACCTGACGATAGATGGTGGTCACCAAGTGGAAATACTGTACCTTACACCAAAAAAACGGTGATTGTGATGTATTTATGTTGTTTATGCTGTTCACGTTGATGTTTATGGTGATGGTGATATTTACAGCGATGTTTATGTCGATGTTTATGGTGATGTTTATGTCGATGTTTTTATGGACGTTTCTTTCAAGTTTGGGGCCCTGATGTTTTTTTTTTTACATTGTAATCCGCAGAAAGATTGACATGGCCTAGTTGCACCACATTCATTGATCTTGCCCATGGCAATACATTTCAGCCGTACAAAGCACTGCAGAGACATGGGCACTCCCAAAAATTGGATGGCAAAACATCGATCAAATTGTACAAAGAATACCAGCTCATGTGTGGTTACCCGGGCCTGAAATTGGATCCAAACTCAACAATATAAGTTGGTTTGTTCTTTTAAATGGGCTATGCACCCAACGATGGCTATGTCATGCCATGTCATATTACCCATGGATCCAGGTGTACCATAGTCATCATGCGCCAGGCCTGCACTGCTGTTGATGCCAACAGTTTCAGCCGAGGGGCTCAATTCCACCATGGCTTGAGGGCTGCATGTTGGTGGCTCCTGACATCTGCGGATGAGAAAATTATGATCCACAATTTGTGATCCACAACTGAGGTTAAATTCCTCGCCTTTCACTGAACCCCTTACCCTCTGGTAAACTAACATAACTGTGGAAACTCACCATTTTTAATGGGTAAATCAACTATAAATGGCCATTTTCAAAAGCTATGTTAGTCATTACCAGAGGGTAAATCATCAAAGGTCTTTTTGTGAGACGCCACCGTTGCCACTGGAACAAAAACAGCCAAGGTTGCGGTGCTTTCTTTGCCATGTCCAATGTGGCAATTTGGCCCGTTGAAGAGGACCAGCTGCTTTCAGCTCAGGTGAATCTGATTTGGTGTAGACTGTTTCTGTGGCTATCCTTGACTTATATGATTACATGATATATAATATATGGACTATGTGACTACCAATCTGATTTCTGATTTTTGGAAACCTTGTATACTTCTTTCCATCAATGCTGGTGCTGTCTGGAAGATGGTTAGGACATTTCCTTCACTGTAGTATACCAAGGAAACTGGTCACCACTTCCTACAGTGTCATGATAAATCATCATGGCTGTGAATCAAGATTGGGTATCTAAGAGTGGATCCGTTACCCTCTGGTTATTTAACATAGCCATGGGACATGGCCCATAGAAATAGATGGTTTACCTATTAAAAATGGTGGATCTTTCCATGGATTTGTTGTCCTTCCTGGATCAGTTGGGTTTTCGATTTGGGCCACCAGGACTTGTTGGTGGCCACGGATTTCGAAAAGACCTTCTCTGACAGCACCTTGGAGCCGGTGATGTACATCTCAGAGGCGCTTCGGCAACGGTGCTGACTATGGGATGATGATTCCCACTATAGTTGGGAACACCCGTCGGTTATTCCTGGCTAAAATCCCTAGGCTGGAGCCTCGAGTTAAAGTCTTCAAACCTGTTTAGGGATTTCAGCCAGGGAAAATTTGATGTTTGACCCATGGATTTTATCCAGAGCACGGCTTCAAACAATGAGAAGATGTTGGATGCTAGACCAAGGGATTTTATTTCTATGATATATCTATGCTTGTTTGTCAGACCTTGGATTTTATCTTTGGCATCCTTGGCCTAGTTAATAAAATGCCAAATCTCAGCTCATGGGATTTCATCCTGGTGACCTTGGGAATTCCAAAACCTCAAACCTTGGATTTTATTTCCGGCAATGGTTTGGACAGCAGCCGCCCAAGCAGCCTAATAGCCTACACAGACCCTGCACAGCACCCTGCAAAGCACCTTTGCCAGACCTCGCCACCGCAGTCTGGAGAGCAGCCTAGCAGCCTGCACAGCACCCTGCACTGCACCCTGCATAGCACCCTTGCCAAACTTCGCCACAATTCGCCACCGAAGACCTGACCTTTGAGAAGTAAGAACCCCTATAGCTTCCAGCTATCTGGGGAAAAACAAAATTCTAAGAGCAATGGAGCTTCCTTCCTGGAATGAGGCGGCGTGGACATTTGCCTCTGAATCCGGGAAAACACATTATAAACCGCCTTGCCATCGTCCTTCCCTCGACTTTGCAAGAACAAATTGCTAAAGTACCCCGGGGCCATCTCTAGAATGGCACGCCACTTCTGGCCAACTTGCGGATCTTGCTGCTTGTTGGCACCCTCACTGGCTGGCAGTCGGACATAGCCATTCTCATCAAGAAGTGGCCGGTCAGGGTGCTGCGCAGCGTCGAGTTCCACAAATCGTTGGAGCTCTTGCCTGATCAAGGCATCGCCTTTTTTGAACCTGTTGAAATTCTCCGGTATGGCCTTAGCCAGTAGGAGCGGGCCAAAGATATCAATTACACGCTAAAAAATCTATTGTTGCAGCAAGTGTTCAGAATGTTCAGAATTGTTGGGTGAAATCAAAGCCTCAAATCAAAGCCTAAACATCTAAAACCAAACATATCTAAACAACACATGAGGGTCACCCAAGCTCAACGTCGATCACCCAAGAATCTCGGGCTAGAATCCAAGTGGCTTGAGGTTTTGGGGACTAGCGAAATAAGATCTATGATATTGAAATTCTCCGGTATGGCCTTAGCCAGTAGGAGCGGGCCAAAGATATGAATTACACGCTAAAAATCTATTGTTGTGGCAAGTGTTCAGAATGTTCAGAATTGGTGGGTGAAATCAAAGCCTCAAATCAAAGCCTAAACATCTAAAACCAAACATATCTAAACAACACATGAGGGTCACCCAAGCTCAACGTCGATCACCCAAGAATCTCGGGCTAGAATCCAAGTGGCTTGAGGTTTTGGGGACTAGCGAAATAAGATCTATGATATTGAAATTCTCCGGTATGGCCTTAGCCAGTAGGAGCGGGCCAAAGATATGAATTACACGCTAAAAATCTATTGTTGTGGCAAGTGTTCAGAATGTTCAGAATTGGTGGGTGAAATCAAAGCCTCAAATCAAAGCCTAAACATCTAAAACCAAACATATCTAAACAACACATGAGGGTCACCCAAGCTCAACGTCGATCACCCAAGAATCTCGGGCTAGAATCCAAGTGGCTTGAGGTTTTGGGGACTAGCGAAATAAGATCTATGATATTGAAATTCTCCGGTATGGCCTTAGCCAGTAGGAGCGGGCCAAAGATATGAATTACACGCTAAAAATCTATTGTTGTGGCAAGTGTTCAGAATGTTCAGAATTGGTGGGTGAAATCAAAGCCTCAAATCAAAGCCTAAACATCTAAAACCAAACATATCTAAACAACACATGAGGGTCACCCAAGCTCAACGTCGATCACCCAAGAATCTCGGGCTAGAATCCAAGTGGCTTGAGGTTTTGGGGACTAGCGAAATAAGATCTATGATATTGAAATTCTCCGGTATGGCCTTAGCCAGTAGGAGCGGGCCAAAGATATGAATTACACGCTAAAAATCTATTGTTGTGGCAAGTGTTCAGAATGTTCAGAATTGGTGGGTGAAATCAAAGCCTCAAATCAAAGCCTAAACATCTAAAACCAAACATATCTAAACAACACATGAGGGTCACCCAAGCTCAACGTCGATCACCCAAGAATCTCAGGCTAGAATCCAAGTGGCTTGAGGTTTTGGGGACTAGCGAAATAAGATCTATGATGTTGAAATTCTCCGGTAGCCAGTAGGAGCGGGCCAAAGATATGAATTACACGCTAAAAATCTATTGTTGTGGCAAGTGTTCAGAATGTTCAGAATTGGTGGGTGAAATCAAAGCCTCAAATCAAAGCCTAAACATCTAAAACCAAACATATCTAAACAACACATGAGGGTCACCCAAGCTCAACGTCGATCACCCAAGAATCTCGGGCTAGAATCCAAGTGGCTTGAGGTTTTGGGGACTAGCGAAATAAGATCTATGATATTGAAATTCTCCGGTATGGCCTTAGCCAGTAGGAGCGGGCCAAAGATATGAATTACACGCTAAAAATCTATTGTTGTGGCAAGTGTTCAGAATGTTCAGAATTGGTGGGTGAAATCAAAGCCTCAAATCAAAGCATAAACATCTGAAACCAAACATATCTAAACAACACATGAGGGTCACCCAAGCTCAACGTCGATCACCCAAGAATCTCGGGCTAGAATCCAAGTGGCTTGAGGTTTTGCGGACTAGCGAAATAAGATCTATGATATCTATGATATCTATGGCTTCAACCCTGCCAGGCCTTAAATCTTTCCAAATCCCAAGGACTTGGACCAAGTACTGTGACCTGAGGGATCTGAAGGGGCCAAGTTACGAGGATGGTTTTTGAGTCTTTCTCCACTGACTTCTTCACCTTGTCGTGCATATGCTTGACCAAATTTTTCTGCATGGTCGACTTCAAGGTTTTCTGGGAGATCTTCTGGTGGCTGCTGGGTGCAGGATCTGCGGCATTCTGCGGCCTCATCATCCGTGTCATCGATGGTCACAGTGCCATTGTCATCATTGTCATCTTTGCCTGCGTTGGTCATGTTGGTCTTTTGCTTCTTTGCTGTCTTCTTTCGCATCTTTTGCTTTCCTGATGTTCCTGGAATCTCTCGTGTCAACTTCGCAGATCCTTTGGTCCCATGCAAGGCTTTGGGCCAGCTGGTCCATTCATGGGCATGTTTCACTACTTCAAGTGCTTTCGCTGTCAGCGTGACTTGCACTCCATCAGCTCCAAGTTTGGTGTCCGCAATCTGAAGCACCAAGCCAATTCTGTCTGCTGCGACAACCATGGTTTCACCCATGGCAGTTGCCCTGAATGTGCCTTCTGGTTGGTTTTGGACTGGACTCATCTGAAAAACCAAAAGTGGGACAATAGAGGCCGAACAACGGGAGCAATTTGGGAAAGACGGAAAAGGGGGCACGCGTCGCTCGGCACGAGCTGGCATCATCCAGCAATCGGGAACATCAGGCGTTGTCATCAGGCATTGGCTTGGATCTTGGGCCCTTGGTTTTTATCTTGAAGACACTTTTGGCATGTGCTTCTCGGGCCCAGGGATTCTATCTCTAACATAGTCTTTCTGATCACTCGTTGGGTTGTCTCAAGCCTTTGGATTTTATCTCCAAAACCCTTTGCTGTTTTTTTTAATTTTGCATTGTTTTTACCGTGGGGTCAAGCCAGGGATTCTATCCAGGGCCCTTTGGTCTCAGACCAGCTGGATTCTATCCCAAATCTTGGCTTAAATCCTTGGCTCCAGGCTAAGGTGTATAAGCAACGGGTATGTTGGGATGTATAATATATATATAATATGGATTTTACAACCATGATATGTTATATGGTTAATTAACATATTATCCAATGGGATAATGATATGATAACCATGGGATAATACTAGTTAAGTTGAATATGTGTATATGTATAAATAACTATATGCAAGCCTTATAACTATGGTGATACTATGGTGAAATGTCTCTAAGACTGGAACTCCTTCCCCAAGTTGGGTGGTATGAGGAATGGTGAAGACACGATATACACACCGATATGTGTGATATGTACGATATGTATGATAGGAAATAGCCAGCTTTTTCACACCTTGGGAATGGATCGCAATCATATCCTGCCGAAAGTGGATGACATCCAATAAAAAATCCAATACTAAGCATGACCATTAATGCGGGTCCATACACCAAATTGTTGAGCCATAGTCCATAGTTTTAGTCCTTTTTATCAAGCCCACCCTCTGGTAATTTAACATTGCTACGGAATGTCAGCATTTTGATTTGATAGATAAAGATCTACAAAGGAGCTATTAAAATCATAGCCATTTTAAATTACTGGAGGTAATGGGGGACCAGTCCAGGACTCTTTGGCTTTGTTGGCTGCTGCTCCAAGAGAAGCCAAGCTCTCAGATTCGCCACCGGTCACTTGGTACCAGTCATGAGTCTGACTTTTTGGAATGTAAATAAAATACCCCAATTCATAAAAGTGGGACATGATTTGTTCCTCACATTTTCCCTTTGATGTCCAACCATTTGCAATGATCTAAACATTCTCCAATGGCCAATCTGCCAGGCCGTTGATTCGCTCCTGGACCTTTGCTGCGGCAGCGGCGTACAAGGCATCGTGGCGCTGCGCTACTACGCCAGCAGCGCCAGCTTCGTGGCCCGGGGTCCCGAGGGTTGCCGAGGATGGCCTTTCCAAGAAATGAGGATATGCAGTGCATTTAAAATATTCAAATATCTCATCATTCTGAAGTCGAATATTATTGGACTCCTTGTGTGTTTCAAGGCTGAGTGGGATTCATGAGGACCTCTGGCCCAAGGACCTGAATCCTCGTTCCCCACGGTTCGTGCGCTTCAACTTGGCTTTGAACTGCCTGGCGCACAAGGCGCCTGGACATGTTGTTTTCAAATGTTTTTAGGAAGTTAAGCGATGGGTAGGAAATTGAAGATCCCAGGACAGTCACAGGGGAATCCCAGCCATACAGGTGTTTTCTACTTGTGGGTACTTTTGCATGTTCAGCACTTAGTTGCTGTACTCGAAAAAATGCTGCTTGAGGGTATCAGTTGGTCAAAGTGATAAACTTTATAAGATGGCCCTTTGATTGTTTGTACCCCCCAAGAATGCTGGATTTTTCCTGTTAATATCCATCACCCATAGGAGTTAGCACCCAGAATCGCAGGCCGAAGGCGTTTTTGAGGGTAACCTCTATGATGCCTTGCCACCGCGGGAAAGGCTGGGAGTGGCAGTAGGTGATCAGCTGGTTCATTCATTGGCTTGGTTTAAGCGAAAATTTGCAGGAAACATCCAGTTTTTCCCATGAAATCAAGGGGTTTCCAGGGTTTCCAAATCTGACCCTAGCCAACACTCAGTACTCGCACATCTCAGTACTCACTTTCATAGGTTTCTGTGCTTATTGCAACAGCAACGCCGCGTCATGAATGGACAGCAGCTGCCGGGGAGGCCGTATGATGCCATTGTCGCCAACCCGCCTTTCGTGCCCAACCCACAGGCTTTGGGACAGCACACTGACAGCCACTAGTCGGGGGTCAAAATGTCATTGTTGCTGGTTCCGTACCAAACATGTTGCCAAAAGATGCCAAAAGTGTCTGCATGGGGATGTTCTCCACTCCATATCAGTTTGGTTTCTGTGGGGTCTTGACATGTCTTGACAAGGGCATTGCCTCCGGCGCTGGTGCAATGTTCGGCAACGGCGGTGACACAGGCACTGGGGATAGTAGCCAACATTCAGCCACAATGTGACATATTGTGACATGTTCCAATTGACTCTGACTCTACTACTGTATGTAGCGCTCTATGGGCTTCCTGATTCTCATTTATTGGCCAAGAAAAATATCTTAATCCTGCCACGCAAAACTAGCATTTGCTTCCATCTCTCGGAATTTCTGGTACCCTAAGCATTCACGCCAAAATGGTGGTCCAATGTGGTCTAATGGTGGTAAACCTTGTAATTCTTGGTGGGAAGCCACCATACGGACCATACCAACGATACCCCATCAGCCTTGGATCCCAGGTGAGAAGGTCCTCCAAGGAATTCTCCAAGGTGCTTCACAGCACCTCTCGTTGGCCTCCCAGTGACGGTTGCAGGCGCTTGTGCTGTGCTGTGCTGATCCGGACTTCGGGAGAAATTGAAGGCACCATGTTTGGCAGTAGACCAGCCCTCATTTATTTTTTTGGGAGATTTTGTTTGGTAAAATTGATTAAAATTGTCTACGATTTGAACCTAGTTGACCATCTGATTACTGGGGTCTACAAAAGCTTGTCTTTGTGCAAGCCACGACTTGACCGCGCGGGGCTGCAATTCCTGCGTTTCTCAGGCATTCTCAAATCGCTCAAATTGTGTCGGTCGACGATGACCATCGTCATTAATAGGAGCCCTCATGAAGAATTAGAATGGATAATGGATAATGGTGATGATAATGGACCACCGTGCTGGTGATGGTAGTGGTGATGGTTATAATATAGTTACATCATTCGTCCTGATCATTCCCACTCATACCACGCCCGAGATCTTTGGGGGAAAAAACCTGATGGAAGAATGTACACCGCCGAGGCCTACTGGTCGCTTATCCTTTGTGGCAATGTCTCCCAACGTCCAGGCTACTGAGTGCAGCACAAGTATTGGTTCCGTGTGGTCATGGATGGTCATCAATCCACCATAATCCATTATGATCCATTCATATAATTTCATATTAATTATGATCATAATGGATCGTGATTTGGATTATAATATGGCTTATAATAGGACATATATGGACATATAATGGCTTCTCCATGACTTTATAGGACCAAAAAAACACAGGAATCCATGGACCGACTCATCCCATCGACCAGGAGCTGCCGCGGAGGATCAGCGAGTCGCAAGCCTGCGGTTTTTTGTGTGCCGGTAGGTTGGGAGAATCATTGGTAAACAGATCTGGTTGGGATTCTTAAGGTTGCCAAAGTAAGGTCATTGGCAAATATTGAAGAATTCACACATAACCTGTACTTCAGGTTGTAGTTGCCGTGATTTATTCAATGTATTCATTGAAATCTGTGTATTTTCCATGGGTGTTCCCTCATGTCAGATTCGCCTACAAATTCAGGTGGTGCGATGTGAACACTACTGGTTTGGTCTTCTCTGGTACTCCTACACCTGCAGAAAGGCAGGGCTTTAGCTGCTGCTTTGGTGATGTTTGTAGGGGGAAGTCGGCCAGGTATCAGCCGACAAGCAGTGGAGTGTAGGCCTTAGAATTTTGCCCAACGGAGCCACTGACTGCAACCAGTCTCCAAAGCCCTGCTGGTTGATGATAAGTATAAGGATGGTCAATAGGGATTTTACATGATTATACTACAGGTAATCCATGATGGAAAGCCCTATTGAAAAAAGCGGTATAATGGACTGACGGAGGGTTTTGAACACTGCTCCAACTGTTTTGCACCTGATAGCATGTTGATAGCATGTTGTTTCCTTTGTTGTTGATTCCCGAAAATGTGGTTTGTTTCTTCATATTTCTGTCCTTACAGAACCATTGGCACTGGGACTGTATCACAGTGCTTCTTCAGATTCCCACCAACCAGAATCATCCAGAGCTGCAGTTCCAGCTACACTTTTTTTAATAAACAAGCAGTGTAACATAGCTGGAATCTTCCAATATCTTCAATAGTGTAGCTGTAAGATAGGGGGCAACTAGTTATCTTCCAATATCTTCCAAACAGCCCCAGTATCAGATAGTATCAGCATGGTTATAGGGACCCCATCTTCCAATATCTTCCAATGTATGGGGGCTAACAAAATGCTGACAATCCCATCAGTTATATCCACAATCCCTAGGTGGAGACCAGCCGTTACCAAGCCGCGCTGGCCGACATGGGCATTACCAGTCTCTCAGAGGTGGCCTGGGAGTTTACCCCCATTTTGGATGGTCCAGATGTAAAGATCCAATACATTCCGATACGAAATTAAGCTTTTGGTTAGGAGATTCTCCGGAGCTATGTCATTTTATGAATATGAGATAATATTGGGAAGGGATGAAATTGATGAAATATATGAAATGATTGGATTTTTCAATGGAATTTTCACAACACAAGTGGACATGTTCAACCATCATGGATGTATAAACCATATAAACTGCCTGGTGATTTTACAGATGTGTCTACTTTCCATCCAAAAAGTGGGATCGTGACCAATTGACTTCTATCGGGTGGCTCAACCAAGCCGAAACTCTGCCTTCTACTGGAGAGACAGGTATATTCACATCGGACATCGGACCTAGATGCTGGCACATCAAGAGAGACTCAAGACAAGTCGTCTCCTTTCACGAGCAGAAAAAGAAACTAGGTTTCTGATCATGTGAAATTACCATGTGCGTTGTATGGTCGGATCCAACACCGCATGTTCCTTTGCTAAGATGTGATATTTGCCCTAGGGGTCAATTTGACCATTTCCACATTGATATTTGCAGTTGTTGGATTGGCTTGTGCAAAAGCGATCAGATGTAAAACACACTGCCCCCTCCTGGATTGTGCATTTCAGCCGATTCTTGCGGTCCCAACTTCTTGATTGTTTTTGTTTGTTCATAAAGGAACGGGCTTGTCCAACAAAAACATACACCTTGAAGCCTTGAATTGTCATTTTGAACCATTTTGAGGCATGCTTCATTTCTGGACAACCCCAAATCTTGGAGAATACGTCTTGTTGCAGAAGCCAGACCACGCAGGTTGTTGGCGTAATGGTGATGGGCGGTACTGAGAAGAAGGTACAGCGGCATGCTGGGCGGAAGAGTGCTTCATGACTGATGTGGTGGCTTAACCAACAAAAATGATGATTGAATGAGATTTGATTGGATTTATATAATGGGATATTTCTTACGTATGTGTATAATCGTATAATCCCTTCCCCCTAACATTAAGCAGCCTCCAGAAAACATGGTTTAGTCGGGTTTTTTTCCGACATATTTTTTGGACCATAGAATGGATGTATTTCATACTAGGGGGGTGGGATTAGTGCTGGCTCAAATCTTTGGACTTAGCAAGAGCTTCTCACAAACAAGATCATCATGCAGTATGTAGGCATGTACACAGTGATACAGTTATGTATATTCTGTATATATATATATATATAATTATATGGGAGCCGTCCGTAAAAGCAGGTCACAAATTTATGAATTGATGCGTTTACTTTGCTTTGCGCGATTGCTAAAACCTGCATCGCGATAGGCTGAGCGATTGGTTGGCGATTGGTTATACGGCTACCACCCTATTACTACTACTACTACTACTACTACTACTACTACTACTACTACTAGTACTAGTACTAGTACTACTACTACTACTACTACTACTACTAGTACTGCTAGTACTGCTAGTACTACTACTACTACTGCTACTACTACTACTACGACGACTACTGCGACTACTACGACTACTACGACTACTACTACTACTATTACTACTACTACTACTACTTACTACTACTACTACTACTACTACTACTACTACTACTTACGAGACCAGAACCATGCCAATAATTGACATGGCCGCGCGGATTCCGCGCGCGCGGAATCCGCGCAGATGTTTTCAGGTCAGAAGGACATTCAAGCTAGCACCAATTGAAAACAGGTCAGAAACAGGTCAGAAACAGGTCAGAAACACCAAAAAGGCAGCACTTGCCTAGCATCCCATCCATCCATCCATCCATCCATCCATCCACCTCAGCTCTTATCATTGCTACTTCTACTATTACTATTACGACTATTACTACTATTACTACTATTACTACTTCTCCTCCTCCTCCTCCTACTACTACTACTACTACTACTAGTACTACTAGTACTACTACTACTACTACTACTACTACTACTACTACTACTACTACTAGTACTACTACTACTACTACTACTACTACTACTACTACTACTTTCGAGACCAGAACCATGCCAATAATTGACATGGCCGCGCGGATTCCGCGCGCGCGGATTCCGCGCAGATGTTTTCAGGTCAGAAGGACATTCAAGCTAGCTCCAATTGAAAACAGGTCAGAAACAGGTCAGAAACAGGTCAGAAACACCAAAAAGGCAGCACTTGCCTAGCATCCCATCCATCCATCCATCCATCCATCCACCTCAGCTCTTATCATTGCTACTAATACTACTACTACTACTACTGCTACTACTACTGCTACTACTGCTACTACTACTACTACTACTACTACTCCTACTACTACTCCTACTCCTACTCCTACTTCTACTCCTACTCCTACTTCTACTCCTACTCCTACTCCTAACGCAACCTCTCTCTCTCTCTCCCTTGCCTATTCCCTCACCCTCCTACCAGAACTCCTACGCCTACTCCTATTCCAATTTCCACTACCACTACTGCTAGTGCTACTGCTACTGCTAGTGCACTGTGAGTTTTCCGGACCGTTTCCGGACCGCACAAGCTTATTTTGCTCCCAAATTTGAAATCGAATGCGTTCACGCATGGATCCTCATTATATAATACATAACTTATATTTTATGTATATGATCTGATCAACGAAGAACAAACCCTTCCGCGATTGCTCACTGTGGTACCGCGGTTGCTACGCGATTGGCTGAGCGATTGAGGGCTGTCCGGGAAAAGGTATTTTGGACAACCCCCATATATATATAATTACAAATGATTACAAATGTATAGTATACATATATAATTATATATATATATATATTGTATACACGTGTGTGTGTGTTATCATATTAATTATTATGGATTACTTATATTTATATACTTCTAGGCAGACTATCGTGTGACAATGGCTGAAGGCAGCATAGTCACCTGGCAGGTGAGCATTGCAGGAGAAGCTCGACCAGAGCTGTGGCAGGGAAACCAAGATTCGGCTTCTCTAAGTTAGCTGGGTGCCATGGTTGGAAGATGTTGGAAGTTAAGTTGGGACCACACATTTTGGCTGCATTTGAAGGCAAAAAATCATCATCCAAAGCCGTTTTGGGGGGTGTGTTCCATCTATCAACGACGGTACTTCTATTCCTCAGTTTCTGTTGAGTTTAGTCAGTGGGCAGTTCGAAACGCGATGCTCGAAGATATTGAAACCTTGGCGCCAAGCTGGAGGGAGATTCACCAAATAGACCTTTGAATGTTGTTTTCAATCAGTTTTTTTTCAAATTACATTGCATATCCCAAAAGATTACAGATGGGAATCGTTTCCGCATCTGGGGGTTTTGATATGTTTTAATATGTTTTAATATTTTTTACCCCTTAAAACACAGACTGTGTATGTATATATATATATAGAGTATAGAGGTCCCCTGCATGATCTGCGCAGGGCGGACCATTCTTTCCTTCGGATGGTGGTGCAGAAGTCGGGCGACGCTTCCTCCGCTTCGGAGTCCAGGTGCGGCAGCGAATGGGACGCCAGGGAGCGAAAAGTGGTGCGAAAATGTGCAAGAAATGAAATGAGGATTTAATAACCATCAAAAATGTTGCGTAGTTTTTACCATCAAACATGATCATTTAAGCTTTAAAAAATGGGATTTGATATGATTTGATATGATTTTATATTAAAAAACGATGATCAATGGTTCAAGGAAAAGTCAGCTGGAAACCATGGCTTTGTTCACTCCAAAGATAGAGGTTTCATGTAGATTCTTCCTTTAACATCCTTTAACCAATTCTGGGTTTACTTCCGTGGAAATCGTTGAGATCCAGTCATGGCAAGGCCGCAAGCCACAGAAAGTGTAGCTCCACCAGTTCCGTGGGAAGCCTCGGCTGAGCAAGTCAGTTGCATCCAACTCAACTTGGACCGTGGCACTGTTGGCATTGATCTGCAATGACAAATATTCATATTATAGTAGAAAGCATTAGATATTGATGTGTATATATATATATTATATTATATTATTATTATCATCATCATTATGATTATCATTATTATATATATAGTGGCAACAGATCGAAGACATTGTTGTGATAAATATGCCGAGGCCGCCAAAGAAAAAAACGGAACCAAAGCGCAGCATGCCAGCGCCAGTGACGCCGGCCCTCGCCCCAGCACAAGTGTGAAGGCTGTGAAATCCTATGTTCAATGCATTGCTTCACTGGATCCATGGATGGTTACATTGGTGCCATGGTCTAAACTTGATTGAACTGTCAATCCATTTATAGGGACTTACATATATATATATATATATGATGCGGATTCCCGATTCCCATGATGGGATGGATGACAATACCACATAGCCATGTTTTTGGCGCAGATGTAGTCGTGTCAAACTTGCTGGTTCCATGATCTTGTTGCTGAAAAGGATCACTCGTATCTCTACTCAATCATGTATCTATAGGCAATAGTACGGGTATCCAAAATGTACTGTAATTGATATGCGCATTTCCCTTATTGCTAGGTAGAGTAGTCAAATTGATATCCCCATAGTGGTATGCCCCTATTGACATGCATCAATAGTTGATCTTGATACCTTTGGGGGATCTAAGTTGACAACGGCGATCCAGAATCCCTATTAAGAATAGATGATGTTCCCATATCAAACCTAGCAGATTTCCCTTGATTCCCATTATATTAACGTAGTGTATCAATAATATAATATAATTTAACATAATATAATTTAATATAAATATATAAAATATAATACGTATAAAATATTAAATATAATATAATATATAATATAATATATAATATAATATATAATATAATATATAATATTATATTTAATATAATATATGATTTAACATATTATATTATATATTATATTAAATATTATATTATATATAATATTATATATTTTATTAAATATTATATTATATATTATATTTTAAATAAATATTATATATAATTTAATATATAATATAATATATAATATATAATATATAATATAAAATATAAAATATAATATATATAATATAATATATATAATATAATATATAAAATAGAATATATATAATATATAATAATTAATATATAATATATAATATATGATATATAATATATAGTATATAATATATATAATATAATATATAATTTACAATTTGATACAATATATAATATGATATAATATATAATATGATATAATATATAATTTAAATATATAATATATGATATAAATATAATATAAATATAATATGATATAATATAATATAATATGATATGATATAAAATAGTATAATATATATATGTGTATGATATCAATAATAAATGGTATCAATAATATATGAAGTATCACTCTGACTGTAATTCGCCATAGCATCCTTCCCATTTGATATTATCTACAACAACTGATAGAATTGGTTGAAGAGAAAAGAGAAACCGGAAATAACCAGAATACCCCCCTCTTATATTTGGGTGTGAAAACGATGGATTGCTGTATACACTGTAGATTTTCTCAGAAACCCAACCATTGATCATCATATTTGAATGTGAGAACATCTCAAATTTCCATTGTTTGATGGTTGAATCCTGATTTCTATGCCCAAAATGTTTGATCGTTCAACCCAACATTTATCATGCTTAAATCCCCACATCAAATCCCCATCCTTTTTGGTTAAACCCAGGACCCAGCAGTGGACCCCTACGCTGCTGCCGCCAACGCGGCCGCAGCGGTCTCCGCGGCGAGCACGGCAGCGAGTCAAGGAGCCCTATGGGTTTGTTTGAAAAATGGGGGATACCACCGAAACAGCAATGTTACCCTCTGGTTATTTAACATAGCCATGGAAAATAACCCATTTATAGATGATTTTCCCATTAAAACCTCCATTTATAAGGGATTTTCCATGGCTATGTTAAATAACCAGATGGTAGTAGGGACAATGATGATAAAACCGGTGGATTTGGGGATACCATATTTTCAGTCCCAAATAAGATTGATGAACTGACTCAAATTTTGAAAAGTGTAACTTAGCCATCAAGGTTCTGTAAAGTTTACTTTTGCAAGAGTGTGATTCATCCAACGGAAATCTGAAATGTTAGCTAGCAAAAATGGGGATTGAATAAACTAAGATGTCTCTGTGCATGTGTGTATAGGCAAAGATGGATGATTGTTCCAAAATCCTTGAATGACCGCGAACATCCCGCATTGGTTTAATTGGAATATGTCCAGAAAAGACCTCTTACATAAATTATTGCAAATTATTGCGGTAGTTTCCTGTAATGTGTCCCTCAGAGTATATAACCCGGTGAGGAACAACGAAGAACCGCCAGAGACTCTGTGTCTTCCCCGAATGTTCACCAACACAAGTGCCCGTTGACACGAGATGGCAGTTTTTGATAGCGCAAACGATCGGAAAAGATTAGTAGTTTGACCTGGCAATCCATGCGATGATGACTGGTTCGAATCCATAGAGGTTTGACAGTGCAGTTGTTCAATGGATAAATTTATGGATAAAGAGATGAGACTATCAATATAAATCAAGAACCAGCCGACTGGTGGCCTTGGCAATGTCTGAATTTTTGGTTCTTTTTCACAGATCTTCATGTAAGTGGAGGATCGGTTCTTATGTTTTTCAGTGTTTTCGCCTCTGATCATGTGTTTGCTGATAGCACTTGCAACTTCACAAGGTGAAGCCCAAAGATATCAATGCGTGGACAGTTTTTCGCTAGAGATTTTGTCCTTGGGTGTGCATCCCAATTAGCAAGTGGTTCGAAACCTATCATATACAACTGTGGCCAACTGGGGATATCCCGTAAATAACCGGAATATTTCATATGTTAGTTAGCCATAGTTAGCCCACTTAGTAAGTTAGATGACTAACTGTGATGCACATCCAAGTAGGATTCCCACTTTTTTTCAGTCTCCGTTGCAGCTGGCTTCGTCAAACACCACAGGAGAGCCGCAGAAGCAGGCTTGGCTATCAATGGAGCAGCAAGTAAGCGTCGTATATCACTTGTATCATAGGTATATGTCCCCATGGTTTAATGCTTATATCATAGTTATATCATATATCATGTTGTCTAATGGTTATTTCATATCATATATCCATCTTCACCGGTTACAACATCCCTATGTTTGACACTTAAGACCCATCTTTGGTCATCCATCAGTCAGTTGGAAAACGAAGAACACCAGGCCCGAGAAGGCAACTTGCACTGTGCTCAGCAATGGATGATTCTGCCGAGTCAGACGCTTGCACATATAAGAAATATACATACGGTAACCATCCAAAAAGATAGAAAAGTATCATCATATTCAAATAGTGGTAAATCATTTTTTCTATCTTTTTGGAGGTTACTATACAGTAAAAATTATAAGATATGCGCGTTCATGGATTAACATCCAACTAGCTGGAATGGCAAAATGCTCATCCCCCTAAGAAGTGTGTTTATAGGTATTGATCGATATCCATACAATGGTATAAATAGATACAATTCCCAAATTATGTAGCGTATACCTGTACAGAAAGTATAATTCTATTCCACGCACAACTTTGACATGTACGCGTACAGTTCTATGCACATACATTGGGCTTGCACATGGATTTGTAGATGTATTTCCTGCAAATATGACTGACTGGATTTGTCCAGCTTCGTACTTGCAGGGGCTGATTCAGAGAAAACGCCTTACACACTATCCCCTGGGAATAGAGGGAGGCCAACCCATGTGTACTCTCTTGGTGCTGATCTGTCGGAACTTGAGTTGATTGTACGTAGAAAGGTGGACTATACACTATATACACCGCTTCAAATCACTGTGAAAACCCACAGATCTGACAGACTTTGCTGGTCAAGCTGTTTGAATTGACTGAAACCTCAACGAAATCTGTAACCTTTTGGGCCTGAAGAAACCGCTTGTGGCCACAGCGGCCCTGTGGGTTTACCACGAGAGCGATGAAGGCGCTGCTGGATTCACGGATTGGCCAGGGTCACCCACTATGAAGATTGTTTTGCAAGCATTTGGGCAACCACAATGGAACATTGAGATGATATACTGTATAATTATGTGCATATATATAATATTATCAAAAGTCAAAAGTCCCATTATGGGCAAGAGTAAGTATGGCAATTACAATATTATCTTACATTATCTTGAGATATCTTGAGCATTCAAAACTACATATGGTATGGTATATATATGGTATAAGCCCAAAATAACCTGTATTGCCCGGTGAGAAAAATGGGCTTCAAGAACTGCACCCTGCACTGGGACCAGTGGTGAACATCGTTCAGGTTGGTCTCGGTGCCCTGCGACGAGGGGCACGCTCCTTTGCTACGCGCTCATGGGTGGATGCTTGGCGGTCATCCCTGGTCCCTGGTCATCCTCCAGTAATGCCGCATGCCGCATGGAAAAAGGCTGGTTTGAATCACCAAAATCACCCAGAAAAATTCATGAGAGGATAATGGTTATTCTTATTTTTCCGATGTGAATTAAAGACATTCCCTTAAAAACTGTGCAGTTTCCAGGCATGTTCAATTATCTGAGACTATGCAGCTTGTTTTACATGGAAGAGAAAGCCCACCAGGAGGCCGGAACGAACTGGGTCTGGCTTGAAATTGGGGTGTCTATATACCCTCCGAACTGGCCAATTCAATAGGGAGCATGATGTTTGATCACTGAATTCTGGAGTACCCTATTTTCCGACAACCCAACTATTTGCTGGCATCATTGATATGACTTCTTTAGCCACGAGAGTCTCTTTGTTCAAGGACATGCAGGTTGAGAGAGAACTCGCAAATTTTACTGAGGAATATGATGCCAAATGCGATTTCCCCATTGAGAACTTGCCGTTTGGAGCTGCTTGGCGAATTCATTCGGTGGGTCACCACTGATGTAGCAAGATCTTTCCTTTCCCATAGGATCCATGTATGCTATATATGGTAACATTTACCATCAATATACCCCAAATGTTAGCATATATACCATACATGGATCCTATGGGTTTTGAGATGGTCCAGATTTTGATTCCGCTGCCCTGAAGCTGGGAAAGTGCTTCTTTGCCACCCTTCTCCGCCACAGGTCTTCTCGTGTGCCAAGAAGGGGCCACGCTGTGCTACTGCCATTGGTTCATATGCTGTGGATTTAGCGGCACTCAGCGTGCCTTGTCCCGAGGTTGTTCGGTCCTTGGGCGCCAGCAATACACTTGTGATGTGTTAGTGTTGTAAAAACCAAAGATGCATGAAATATCTGTACTGCAAGATGCAAATGTACAATACGTATCAATATGTATCAATAAGTGGAATCCTACCTCGCACTTCACTTGCATGGGACCTGTTTGATAAACACATCACTGGTGTGTTTGGGTGTGGATATGATGTTCCACCTGTTTGAGATGATCCAGGATTTTAGCTACCAGTGCAGATCACCAAGCTTGAGTCGAGAGAAGATCATGTGAGGATCTGGCTGAATCAACACAATACTTTCAATACTGATGGACATGCTGTCCTTTGTTTCATGTCTTGGCCTACTTCGGCATTGCCAACAAAAGACCTTGGTTCGAAGGTTCAGAGATTTGCAGAGCGGAGCCTTAATGTTTAGTGATATGTTGGAAATTTAAGGCCAGTTCCCTCGACGAGTGTGAGACAATTGGAATCTACTCAGGAACACGGTGCACTGTCTGGCCTGGGTTTTGACGCGACCAAGACTTTTGGGCAACCAACGCTCAATGCGCAGCTTGATGCACTTACTATGGCTTGTTACGAGCGTGATGATTGGGTAATATGCAGTATTACAGTATGCCGTTTTTTGACAGATTGAACACCTATTATATATATGTATACAGTGACGTTGAGGATGCTAAGGTATGAATATCAGGATTTCCATGTATGATCAACATGTTTGTTCACCATGTAATTGTACAAGTTCGGCAAACGAATCAGTTCACACAACCATGATGTAGATTGGCTCATACGCAGCTGTCACTGAAGCTGTCACCTTCTCTAAAATGAGCAAACAGGAATGGAATAGGCCACTCTCGGGAAAAAGGTCGAGGACATCAAATCGAACAATATCCATGTAGAGGTACAGACTATCGAGAAACTGTTCCTGAGTTTGCTACTGACTTAAAGATCGCTTCATTTTCCCTTGACAGCCTGAGGTTTATGGCTTTGCCACGTAGCGCATGGCGTGCCACCCGGGCAAGACGCTAGATCTGCACTTGGTGACCGTTTCTCGAATGGCGGAGCTGCTGTTCCCGCAGATGAGTTCTGAATTCCTGTACACTGCTCAAGGCTCAACACTTTATTTGTAACATTGTATCTGCAATTAGTGGCCTTCCTGAATTATGATGAATGCTAAGAAACATGAACCTTTAGACCCACAACCAAAGACATTCAAGTTGAACCTCAGGGACTTTGGGGATTGGGACATCGTCTGAAACGAGAAAATTGCCTTCTGCAAACATCCGAAATCTTCCATTGGTTGGCTTCAAACATGAAATTGAATGGACTTTGCTATCTCTACTATTCTCTACTTGGATCTACTTGGCATGATTGGACGTCAATTGACAAGCCTATTTTATGGCCCGGCTGGCGCAATCACCAGCCAATTCCTGGTCGAGACCAGATTTCTGCTGTTCTTCTGCTTGAAACCAATCAGCCAGTCCTTTCCACGTGGAAAAGGATCAAAACTAGGTATCTCCCCTCAAGAAACAACTATAACATACTATAACTATATGGTTGATGGGTTGATGTTTAAATACTTCAACCACTTGACTTCCCAAGTTCCCTCCCAACAAACCCCGCCGGTCCCACGGTGGTGCCCAGGACTCACCCAGCTGCTGCTGGCCGACGGGGACGATCTGCTCCGCCGCAAAGCGGAGCTGAGGGACGCAGCGATGCGACCACTGCAGGCACCGGTCATGGCACGGGTCCAGGGGGACTTTTGGAGGTCGAACAACAGGAGACCAAGGAAGGCGCTCATTGGGGAATCATCACCAGGTGGTTTTTTAGTGGATTTCTGGGGGATTTCTTGGGGTGGTTCATTGAACATAGGGCGCAAAAATACCCCAGATGTTCATGATCTGAGGATATCTGAGGATGATTTTCCCTGTTGAAACAGCACTCATGTTTGAACAAACTCAAAAACGTGTGAGGATAGAAATCAACAAAAGGCCATAAAAGTGTGGATTTGACCAGAGTGCTAGTGGTCTTTACCATCTTTACCTTAGGATTCTGTTTCCAACCTATGACATCCTACAACTTTATTGCAATAATACGTTTTTCAGATATGTTATTGAACCCAACTTGACATATACTTTCAGATGGATCAAAATCATTCACCACCAAGTCCTAGAAGTCGATTGTTCAGGAAGTGAAGATGCACCTGCCAGCGAAGATTGGGGACTACACAGTTTCTCAGTCCTAGTCTTGGGAGCCAATTTTGTGGGGAGAAAGACCTTCCCCAAACTTCATTTGCCGAGGCAAGTGACAGTGGAAATTCTAGCCTGGTTTGGGTCGGGAAACACGAGTATTTCCCTGAGTTGCTGTAAAGAAATCATGTGTATTGAGTAAGAGCTTCTAATTCTCATCATGATACTCCAAAGTGAAGAAGGTGAATTTGGTGAGCTCAGCAAAATGCAACGACATGCAACCCATACATTGACCGCTGCCCACCGAGGACTTTTATTCGTCAAGAGAACATGCCACGAATGTGGGTAACTTGGCTATTCAGACAGCAGGGAAGGTGCGGATACTTCGCTTCTTTGTTGGATCGGTATGGATGACAGGCAACGGCCATCTATTGGAGCAGCAGTTTTCACTACTGAGAAAGCCGGTTGTTGCTATCCACCGGTCCGTGGGGTGGGCCATTTCAAAAATGTCAAGAGCCATTAGTCATCAGCAAAGAGGGCCAAGCTGATCCACAAAAGCGTACATTCACACAGTAATGCAACCAGGTCTGAACTCTATTGCTGGTTGCCCCGGACATCCCAAGACGCAGCATTTTTTTCTCTCAAAGGATCCAGCGCGCAGCAGTGGTAGAACATGCCAACTTATTACCATGTCACTACCAAGAAAGCTTGGAAGAACATTCAGATGGAGGGCCTGAAGCCTGGTCAGGATGGCGTGGCCGGGCCGGGCATCTACATGGCCTCATCCATCGAATCTGCCCAACGGCGATCGCGCAACAATGGCTCCATAATCTTGGAGGTTGAGACAGATGGCTACCCCAACAAGTGCGCAGGCGGCAAAGGAAACTACGTCGTTTATGACCCACAGAAGATTGTGAATGTCACCCGCTATGGCCAGTAAAGAGTCGATGCCAACCACGCGGAAATGGTAAGCCAGAGCCTGGTCGGGACACAAGTTCAGCTGAGTGCCGGACTCAGTAGACCTAGCGAATTGGCTGATGCCTGCGGGCAACACAGAAACCTTTTAAATCCTTTTAACATATTGCAGCTGATGCCGGCAGAGTAGATGCACTGCGACATCAAGTTCCAGTCTTGTCGCATACAGCTTTTGCGCAAACAGGGAAACAGAGACTGGCAGAGAAAATGCGTATCGGGATGAAATAGGTTTGTTCGATAGTGGGGTACCCCCAAGTCCAACGGATTATCATCATTGTTCCATATAAAAGTGCATACCCATCATACCCCATTCTTGGACAAACCAAAGATAACCAAAGTGTGTTTCAAGTTCATGCTTGGGTGAGAGGTGATTCTTCAGACTGTCTAGCAGAGACAGTCATGCTTGCAGTGGTCCCATCACCCTAGCTGGTTCTTAGTTCTTTCAGCAATACAAACTGCACAATAGTTCTAAAATGTGTGAGCCAAACTTGTTTTTTCCAAATGGCAATTGACTGGTCACGGAAATCTGACAGGGTTGACCTATGGGTTCATCCACCCGGGCATCCCAGTCCTTGCCCAGATGGGGTATAGTTGAGGTATTATGTTCAGAGGAAAGGTAGCTTGGCTGAAAGGATTGCACGGTGGACTTGGTCTTCTGTTCGTTGTGCTTCAGAATGTCGATTTTGGCTGTCCCCAAACCTATAGGGATCATAGCCATTGGATTCAACCAATGTCGGGGTACCCGCTTTTGATCCACGCGCAAATTGGCACGCTTTGGGTTGGAAACTGATTTGACTGATCATATTCCATTGTTGCAGGGTTACATTTGATTGGTATCGTTTGGGATTGCCTCAAAATGATTCAAACTCCTGAAATCCCATGCTTTCTAATCATGTTTTCCCATGATGACCAATTCAGGGATCGTCTTGGTGTTTTCTTGCCGCATGTCGAGACAACCCATGAAGCAAAAACATGAGACAAAGACAAACCAATTGTTTGGTGTTTTTGCAAATACCATCAAATACCCCATCATGTCATACCAAGTCCCATCATTCACCGTTAATTCATAGAATTGGATGATGGGAAAATTTACAGGAAAGCCCTATATTTGATGGTAAAAACCATGGTTTCCTGTAGATTTTCCCTTAAACCAATCCAGTGATATCAGATTCGATCCTTTCAATCCTAAGGACAACGCCTTGCAACCCAACTGGCTCCACCTGCCCGTGGGTTACCACGGCCGCGCCAGCAGCGTGGTGCTCTCCGGCACCCCCTTGGCGCGGCCTCGGGGACAGCTGCAGAAGAACCGTGAGGATCCGTGGCAAGGCGCAGCCGGGGTTAAATCATTGGGAGCTCGAAAATTCTAAGAAGGTACCCTCTGGTAATTTAACGTAGCTATTGAAAATGGTGATTTATAATTTTCCCATTGAAAATGGTGATTTTCCGTAGCTATGTTAGTTTACCAGAGGGTACTGATTAAGTACTGTATCTAAATTGATTGAATATGATTGGGATTTTATGATATTTTATGTGAGGATGTTTGACCCAAGACGAACAATAAGTTGGGAGTTTGCACGGTTTAACCAAGAAACAAGATGTAAATACTCTGACCAGCAAAGATGGTGATTTAAGATGATTTAAGCAACAATTACATACAATGAGTCGGGGGGTAGCAAATAATGCTTGTGGATTTAACCAGTAGAAATAATAGAAATTTGATTTTACCTGCAAAGAAGGTAGATTTAACCGACAACCCTATGGGCCAGCAAGACATGGTGATTTCACAGTCACAAGATGGATTGGGAAGGTAGAACCTGGGCCACAGATGATGGGTTTGCGCTGCATCACAGTAACCCGTATCTCTTAGTGTGTTGTATGAAAAGAGGACACACTGCTATTGATCCAGGCCTTCGTTGCTCATTCCAAACTAAATGGGGGTGTTTGTATCACAAATGTGACCTTTAAATACCAGTAAACCTTTCAACCCTAGAAGTCTAATATGTTTTTTTACTTCAAGTATGTTGTTGAGTTGCGTATAGTCTAGAGTTTTGTCATGTCTAGGCCTTGACTTTCCGGTTGCAAACCTTCAATCTAAGCTTCAATCAACGATGACAATCTACCCTCAACTGGTGGGTCGCGAATTTTTTCCCCAACCAGGCTCCGACTATGGACCTTGCAAGCTATTGGACTTTGAGCTGGAGCCAGGGGTGTGGTGCCCTCTGCAGGGACTGTGATCATTGGGGAGTGTACACTCCATGCAAATCGTCAATACGGGCATATTTTATAATATAAGAATATATAAGGTAAATTTATGTAAATGTTCCGCTATGCGTTTCATTGATTCCGATCTGTGATGAAATTTTGTGGGGGAACATCTCCAGCCATCTCTAGCCGCTCTGCACAGCAGGAGATTGGTTTCTTCGTGGGGGGCGAATTGCCGTCTTTAGGACCTCGGATTTTCAGGGCAAAACTGGGAGTCCTCCATTGATGACGATTGGTTGATGCTTGTGCGTCATAGCCACTGAGTTGATTTAAATATTTTAAATTTCAACTAGTAACTTTACTGTAATCTATGATAATTCCTATATATAATTATATAATATTATATATATATACTATTAACATCTATTAGCCAACCAGTAGCTTTGGGGATGAGCTGCTGAGATGGACTGGTCAGTCTTCACCAAGGGGTGGCACATGGACTGGCAGTAAGAAGCGTGATCAGAACTCTTGGGGAGTCAATCCTGCTAAGGCGATTCAACCATCCCAAATTGTTGGTTTGGGTGATAGCTTTATTGAACTTGTGGGTTGTGGGCTGGCAAGAGATTGCGAGAGATCAATCAACTAGTTTTTGTCATGAATTTGATGCAAAGTCTTTAAAGTCGTGGACCAAGTAGCGACACATTGTGATGATTTTGGGACCCTGTGAGTACCACACCATCCATTTCTGTGGGTCACCATGGTCTTCGTAACCCAAAATGATGCGAACCGGACATGAAGTCGCCCCCCCATGGCTCTATGGCAGGACGACCCATCACCATCAATGAAGCGGCTGAGCACATTTTCGGTTTCTGGACATAGTTGGATGATGTTGGATGTTTGATCAGAATAATCATGCAAGACAACACCTTTTAATGGTTTTGTCTGGCCAGTCGTGTCGAGTTGTGTCTTTCGATTCAGTTTCCTCGAGATGCTTCATCCACTCGAGGCTATGTCCTGATGAACGATTGGTCAGCGCGCGATATCCAGGTGTGGAAGGGGATCTGCTGCGGCTGCGATTGGAATGCATCCTCCATGTTGGGCACCACTTTTGGTGCCAACAATTGCAGGCCAAGGTTTTCAGCAGGATCCATGGAGAATTTTTTAACCAGAGCTGTAACACATGGATCCCAAAACCTAAAGACCTGCAGACGCCTGCAGATGTGAGGCCTGGGAGTATGTTCCCCTTGGCCCTTTCGGCGCCAAAAACTTTGGTACTACGATATCTCCTTGGATCGTACCTGGGTTGCCACATTTGCATCGTCACCAGTGGATGATAGCTTCCAGCAACAAGGGGTTTATTGATTTTATCATACTTTGAAGCACCCTTTCTGGTACTCGTAGTAGTGAACCGCAGGAAACCGGCCTTTCTGATTATATTCAACCAAGACTCAAAATGATTATGATATGGGTATGGATCAATACCCATTAATACCATTTTTAGGGGGATGAACATCCATTTACCAGCTATTTTGATGTTCACCAGGGGTACAAGGTTTTGACACACTGCCATATGAGAAGTTGAGCCCTTGAAGTTCCGAGGTCACCCCTGATGCCTTGGAACCCTTCGTTTGCCCCACATCTGCCGAGACTTGGAGCATGCGGTTTTTGATCCCTAGGTGCAGCTGTTGCATCCTCAAAGGAACTGAAGGCTAAAGTAACACAACGTCGCACCGTCGGAATGTTAGCTTCAGATTGTGGATGCCAAGCTTACTTGCACCAGGGAAGATGATGGAAGATGTGTGTCACGTTTTCTCACTGCCTTGTGTAGGGATCGCCTGGACCAGGAAAAGCAGGACAGTCCCGAGCCATTGCCGTACTTGAAGGAACAGCCTCTTGGCAACCTCGGTCTAGGTCAAGCGTCTTCACAGGTAATGGCAGTCGATCTTTTTGCAGGTTCCGTGCGCACTGTACCAGTGTGAACTTTGTTGAGAAGTAATGTAGTGGGGGGTTGCTTCGGCTTTAATTTTAAGAAGCATTTTGCAGGCTATTATGTAGTTTGAAGCTCTCTTGATTGAGAACATAGGGAATGTAAAATGTATTGGGGATGCCTTATTCGTAGGCCTATAGACATGCAGCTTTTGGAATCTGCATGATGTAGAATCGACATTCAGTCGATTGGCACAACGGCATTGGAGTCGCAATTCGCGGTAAGCTAGGTGGGGCTCAGTTGGAAGACATTTAAAGATGGTGCTTCACCCGGATTTTGGAAGATCTTGGAAGATATTTCAATCCAGCAAAAAAAGTTGGTGGTGGTTTGAAATCCTTCTCCCTCGTCTACTGGGAGGACCAGCACAAATTAACACACATGTTTTTTGTCTTTTTTTTGGGGTCCAATTCAACCCAACTAAAAATCATAAGGCTTTTGGGCCTAAAACTGGGACAGCCACCAGAATAGGTCCCCTGCTGCCCTGCTGATTTTGCTCCAGTGCCGGCTCCCTCCAGCGGCCGCCGGTTCCATGGCGGAGAGCCTCAGAGAGAGGCAGCGCGAAGCTGTTGAGCGGCTCTGTGCCAAGAGCCCCAAGGGGAAACCAGTGGAAACTGGGTTTACTACGGGTTACCACAGTTACCAGTTGCCTTTTTTGGATCATGAGGATCCTTTACTGTAGGTAGTTTTTTCGAATCATATCCTTTGTTGAGTTTTGAGGATGGGGGTTCCATCCAATACAATCTAACATGGCAATGCTTAAAATATGTCATTTATATCATTTTATATCCATCTTAGTTTATTTGTGTTTTCCACTTGCTTTTTGCGTGATCCACATTGGCCAATGTGTGTTTCTTATGGTGTATATAGTCCCTAAACTTTGGCCCTACATAACCATGGTTGATTGATTCCTGACTAATTAAAAACGACTGATTTTGGTGGTTTGGGGGTCCCCATCAAAGGTGACCCCCATTTTTGGGCTGGTGTGAACAGTTTTTCACGGACTCAGTCTGGGCTGTTTGGTGATTCTCGGTGCAGTGGTTCTTTTGCAGCACTTTAGGAATAAAGTGGAGCGACAAAGAATTGTTAAGCACTAGAAGCAGGGTCTTTGATGTGGTGTTGCTTTTTCCACGGTCTGGTTACCTTCTTTTCGGAGCTCAGCCCTGCATTGGCGTTTTGCAACTGATCTCCAAAGCTGACGGCCTGTCCTCAACGGCCTGTCCCCCAAAAAAGGTTCCCCACATCCCCATCGTCGCCGTTCGAGGAAGGCCGGGAAATCAACCTCACGGCCTCCCTTCGCAGTGGTCCGGAGTACTCCTTCACGCCGCATCCAAAGGTTGAGTGCAAGAAAAAAACGGTGGATTTACCTGGTCCTGGGGAGTATTATCGCGCAGATGAACCGGAAAGATCCAAAACATCATTTAGCATCGGTCCATCCATCAACGACCTGGGTGGATGTCCCGTTGAGCTGCTCCACTGCAGCCACTGTGAGAAGAAGACGCTAGAGAGCTGGACTCCGGCAGAACGAGGGAAGCGTCCAAGGCCGAAGGAGTGTTCCACCAAGGGCTGTGTATCCCAGGATTTTGCTTAAACCAGATGCTCCATGTATGGAATAGTTACCTACATTTACCATCATTTACCCCCAAAAACACACATTTTGGGGAAATATACCATCCATGGAGCATATGGGCAATCTGAACCTAGGATTAACAAACCCCTAGTTATCAATGAGGGAGGTACCTGCTTTAGCAGTAATTTGTCACTTTTTGGGGGGTAACCTCCCCGATGTAGTCAGTTCTGTTTGAAGTCCGAGGTTATATATATATACCTCGACCCTCCACTGCCGAGGAAAAAATGGTCGTTCTAAGAAGATAGGTCAAACAAACCAAAAAATGATTCACTTTGTTCCAAACATGTATGTTTCTGGGAAAATCTCAGCACTACGGCCGGGTACACAAACCGTGATGATTTTTGGAACAACCAAAAAAATCCGAAAACTACCTAAAACAACGAGATTTCAGGATTTGCGTGTTTTTGCGTGTTTTTGCGGGTTTTTGCGGGCTTTTTGCGGGTTTTTTGCGGGGTTTTGCGGGTTTTATCCCCAGTCGTTTGATGCGCTGCAAACATTTTTTGGCCTTTGTCTCACCAAACCCAAAAACATGCAATCAAAGTCCTAAAATCCAAGATCTAGGTGTTTTGGGTAAAATCAGCCGATATAGGGCAAATTCCGAAAACACCTATATTTTTCTAGGATTTGGAGGGTCGAGGTATATATATATATATTTAATTATATATACATATATACATACATTATGGAGTGCCCCCACTAGCACATGTAATGTAGAGGCCAACTCAAGGACGGGTCTTGTCACACCAAACATAGAATGTTGGTGGGCTAGGGGCACCGAGGTTATGAAGAATGTAGGTTATCATAAGTCTGAAAAGCGAATGGCAGGTGAATCCCGCAATCACACATCGCCATCCGCATAGTTCCTCTGAGGCATACCTGGCAGCCGAGAACCGATCCTATTGCTGTTGTTCCTGTAGCAAGGCAACACCTGCACCTGGCTACATGCCTCCTCCCCCTGTGAAGTGCGCTCCACGGGCGGAAGCCAAGACCAAGAGTCTGAAGAAACCACAAAACTGGCCAGAGCCTGGACAATATGACTCTTGGCATGGATACAAATCCAAGCAGCCATGGGATATTAATGGGAATATAGCAACCATGATAGTGATATTAATCATTATTATTAGTAATTGGTATACAATTTAAGTCCAACTTGCGATGATATTTGTATGTGGACCTGAAAATGGGAACCACATTGGGTAATTTGTGTAGAGAAAATGACGGTAATCCATTGGCAGTTTCTTTGGAATTGGAGGTAAACTATTTTCAGACAAACCCATACTATGTGTATTTGTTTTACATATATATATATACACTTTATATATATATATGTATATATATAGATATAAGTATTGGCGAGTCATTTGTCACATGTTTGCTTGGATTTACGTTAATACTTGATTTGGGGTTTCACCAGTGCAAGCATTTGCTGCTGGATTTGGCTCGCTTAGGACTTAAAGAGCACCTTGGAAGGAATAGATGTCAAAGGGAAAGGCTGGATCAAACCTGAGAAAAAGGACGACAAGAAGGACAGTAATTGCTCAAGATATCCACGTGGCTGCTGATCAAATGTTGGACCCGGGGAACAGTGGATATAGAATTGAACAGTTTTATCTGGATCAACAATCTGATTTGGAGTACTCCAGTCTTCATTCATATCCATCGCTCTCACAGTGGTACAGCCAGACCTGTCACGAATCAACCATGGTATAACTCCTATCATGTGAGATTTAGACCTCGCCAGTTTGTGCTTCCAACTCACCAAAAGTCCCATGTTGGCGTGTATGAAATAAATACCATGAGGCTTACGGGATACTCATTTACACTTTTCCACGGTGAAACTTTGATTTCCTCTGAAGTTTCACTCAACACTCAAATAAATATAAATTATAGATATCCTGACTCCCCATGATCCACTGACCTGCCGTCACAGCTGTAGCAACGTGTTCAACGCGTTGCTGTCCACATTGCGACACGTTGCCAGGAGAAAAAGGAGCCCCCGGGGCCTGGAAGTTTCGAGCCTCGCCATTCCTTCACCAGCAGATCTTCTCCTTCCATTGGTTTTGGCTCGAGCAGCCGATGGAAGGATCTGCCCAAGTTGCCCCGGGAGAAGAAGAAGGACGCCAAGGATGGCAAGGATGGCAAGGATGAGGAACCGTCAAGTCCTGGGCCTGGAGCTTATAATACCACCTCCTTGACTGGGAGGATGAATCTTGGTCTTGGATGCATCCTTTTTGAAACAGTTTCCTATGTAGCTTTGTATTGTCCAGTCTCTCTATGGATAAGATTGCAATGTACTGCAATTGGACAAGTGCTTATGTGATTGCATACTTTTTCAAATTTTGAAGGGTGTTGTTTTCCAAATCTTTCCAAAATTGTCAAATTTACCTACACTTTCAATTCCACCTTCAAGCCTTGCTTCTGTGTTTTGACCCAGGAGGAATCCCATGGCAGTGTCCATCAAGGGTCCATGGCCAGATCGGGATCGCGCAGATCGCGATGTGCGGGACCCGAAGGATCCGAAGGCGGAAACGAAGAAAGATGAGACGCTGGCGCCTGTGGGACCTGGCCCTCCAATGACCAGCTTCAGACCCAAGAGATTCAGCAGATGACTGTAGCTGGTTGGTGGCGAATTGCCGAGAGGTTTGATTGAGAAACCATCTTTGGAAGATTTGGGACGTAAATTTGGGATTCATGTATGCTACAGTATTACATTATACGTACATCCCAAAAGTATTCCTATAGTGACTACATATATTTGAAGGTGAAACCACCAACCAGAAAGTTTTTTGTAGATCTGAGATCTTCCCATTCTCCAGAGAATGAACAAACACCTCAAAGATAATAATAATATAATATATATTATCTATAGATTAAGGCCAGCGGGCTCATTCATTTTTGAAATGGCAAGTTGTTGCTTGGTTATGCTTTCATAGATTCAATGACGAGACCCAGTTGGGAAGGTTAAGGAACGGTGATATCTGAGTTGCCCGAATGGGCACACCCAGAAACTCACCACATTGCAATAGAGGAGGTTTCAACAAATCCTCAGGGCCTTCGTTAAAGTCGTCCAATCACAAGTAGGATAATCCTTTAACTTATGATTCATGGTTAGCAACTGTATTGTAGCATATCCATGCATATCACATGAAATGTATATATTTGCAAACATACATAAGTTTAAGCCATGTCCTCACCATGGAATTGATCGTCAGGGATTATCCCAGTAGAGTGCTCTCCATGTTCTTCAACCAGATCATATTTGGGGTTTTGAAGGTCCACATTTTTTTGAGAAATCGCCCCGGATGCAAGTCCTCATTGATGCCAGTTGCCGTCTGCTAAAGTAGATGTTCAACCATTGGCATTGTGCAATTAGCTATCTTAGCCGCGTTTAGATCGTGGCATCCAAGCGTTTCAAAAAGGTGGGGGCCGAGCAGGGCAGGTTTCGCATTCACCAATCAGTCTCAACATAGAACGGTTGAAGTTGAACTCTACATACCCTCTGGATCACTCTGATAATTTAACATAGCTAGAACATGGCCCATTTATAGCTGATTTACCATTAAAACACAGGGTTTTCTGAAGGTGTGTCTCACTTTGGTGCTTTGGGATCATGCTCAGGAACTACAGTTCCTATGACATCAAACTCGCAGTTGACTTGCACACGCCTAGCAAAGGCTGTGGCGGAGATTGGTCCTTGGGTGGGTTCAAAATGATCAACCACTGGTTACAGGCGAAATCCCGAGATGGTGATCCACTACTGTTGGAATTTGTTCAGCCCCGGCAGTGTTTCAACTTGCCAAAAATGTCCCAGTGACCTTTTGGCCTCAGCCAGCTGTGGTTCACCCGCCTTTTTTGGGAAACGGTGACCACCAGCCTTGAGGCGGTGAGAAAGTGGTGACCACCATCACAGAATCCAACTTCCGTCACATGTATTGGACTCCACGTCAGCATCTTGGCAAAAAGCGCTGGGTCTTGGGTTTGTCATCCTGTTTTTGAGTGCCAGAAAATTTTGTGAACCAAGGCAATTGGTCCACCACAGTGTCACTGGATGCAACATGCAACCCGGAGACCTCTTGGGTTCTGGCACTATCTCTGGAACTGAGCAGAGGAGCCCAGGGGATTGGCCAATCCATTCGTACTGCGAATCTTGGAAGATCCACGGCCTTAAAAACCTACCACAACATAGATCCGGAACAAGATGGGCTCTGAAGATTTTTGCTGTGTGCTGTGTATATTTTAGGATATTTTAATATTATAGGATCACCGTGTTGCTTTCACATTGAATTCGTTGATCGCCAGACATGTGTTATTTGAACACCATGGAGGGTGCTCCCCACGCAGGAGCTTCGGGTCCATGTTGGAGCTCTCATGGCGTGGCGCACATGAAATCCCTTTGGCAGATGGTGAAAGCCGAAAGTTTTTGAAGGACGGCGATGCAGCTAGGCGGAACAGTTGTTGGATCATTTTGACTTTTGGTATGGTTCAAGCTTTTAAGACCCCAGAAAATCCACAAAAAACACTGTATAGGTAATTTAGGCATATGTCGGCCGCCCTCACCCATTCAACCCCATGTTTGAGTGACCTGCCAGGTGCCCAGGGTCTCCAGCTGAGGTCTGCAACATTCGGGGCTTCTGCCAGGGCGATGGATATCAGATTGGTTTCGGGGATTGCACCTTGGACCAAGATGGGAGCTATGGAGCTGGGGTCAAACCCACTGGATGTAAAGCCCCACATGTCATTGTGGAGAACCCAAGTTGGACCCCATTTGTTTGGGGTGTGGATGGCTGGGCAGAACGTAGTGAACCATTGGAGTCTATTAGAGCATTGTTTGGGCATGGCCTTTTTCATGTGTTTTTTTCCAGTTCAAACTCGGTCTTCAGCGGATGATTTGAAATCACCAACCCCATTGAATTCATACATGCATATTATGCAGATGCATTTATATATATATAATTACATATATATATATGTAACTGTACATGGAAAGAATACTGATACACACGCATGTTTTGTATATATATATAATTATATATACGTATAAGGATGTACTGTAATACAATGGCATGGAGGTGTACTCAATTCAGTTCAACTGACAGTCCCAGGTAGTGGTGAGGTCCTGCCTGCTGGTGCGTTGGATGAGGCCATCCTGAGAAGAATTGGAACTTAACCATGACAAATGCTGAAGAAATCGGATTGAACCATGAAGAACTTGGGTTTAAGCATGTTTAGCCATGTTTAGCCACTGAAACATGGATTTGGGTGTTGACATCTACCGCCAATGTATGGCATTTCAAAAACGGAAAATGATGGATTTAGGGATACCCACAGGCAATGTTGGGTATAGGTCGAAATCATCCCCCAAAGCTAAATCTGGATGATTTTCCACCAAAACTAGAAATGTTAGGTTAGGATCAATAATTGATTAATAGTTATTAGGATTAATTAACATCCATTAATCCATTAATTATTAATAATCCATTAATAATGTTAATAAGTGATTCATAGTCCATCCAATTAACATCAAGTAACCATAGCAGGAGGCTTTGTTAAAAGGCGGTCTGCTTTCTGCACTGTCCAGGCACCAAAGGTTCCAGCGAGGTCCAAGCTGCTGCAGGCGGGCAAGCTTGCTATACCGTTGCTATATTATATATATATATATATCATATATTTTTTTTTTTATATAATATATATATATATCATATATATATATCATATAGATTATATCATATATTATTTATATCATATATATATCATATATATATATCATATAATATATATATATATATATATCATATATATATATATATCATATATATATATATATATATCATATATATATCATATATATATATATCATATAATATTGTATTATATTAGATTACCCTATACAACTATATATATACACATATTGTCACATGATGTTGATGTGATATTGTAATTTCCCATTTATACCCGTAGCCTATACATGAGACAAGGATCTTTAGGCATTTCTACCGACGTAGCACCGGGGGGCCAGTGCCAGGACGTGGAACTGCATGGCTATTTTCGGTCGACGGCCTCGTGGCGGGTGAGGATCGTTTCTCGGAGAAATTCACATCCCACGCGCTCAAGACCTGCAGGGATCACATCATGGGTTCAACTTTGTACCATATATTTATAGTATATATATAGAGAGTATATATCTAGTGTATATATAGTATATATCTAAGGTTTGGGGGAATGAACATCAGTTTGACATCTATTTCGAGGTTCACCAGGGTACAGCCAAATCAATTTGAGGAAAATCTTACTGACTTGCAGATGTTATATCAATGGTCCGACTGGAAACAGGCGGATGATGGCGCATGGATCTCTGATGGTTTTTGGGGAAACGACCTGCTGATCTTTTTTGGACCCTAACCTTGCGTTGCTACTGTATCCGGTGTCCGATTCTCGCGTCAGGTCTATCAAACCTTGTTGCAACCCTGGACAGAATCAGACCCTGCAATCATCAAGAAAGCCACAAGAAAGGGCCGATTCATACCTGTGTTTGATGTTTTTGATATTTTTTGTCAGGGTTTGATGCAGTTTTTGCATGTTTTTGCTAAGGCTTTGGCCCACCATGGTGTGAACTATAAATACACATCTGCCACTTGGTTTTTTTGTGCTGACGGGTCAGATGTGCGGAGAGGATGAACCTCCAGAATTATTCTTTGAGTCTTGAGTCATTTTGTGACAGGTGGAGGGGGTCAATGATCAAATCTCCCGTGCCCTTAGCCCTTGAATTGGTTAGTGATGTTCCGAACGAGCACATGTGTATTTTTTTCCATGCTGATTTACCGATATGGGGATGATCTGGGTGTGTCTTTGCACATATGTTTTTCCCTATGGCATATCGTTGAAGTTTCAAAGATCGCTTGGTGGTGCCAGCCCAGCAAACGTTTGGATTTGTTTGATTAATAGGAAATCCCAAATCCATTCAATAATTACTATATATCATGTCAAATCATTGCCCCTATTGACACTACCATGAAATTGGCATACATTTGCAAGTCCACACCCAAATCCGTCATTCATTGCTTGAGTATCGTTAAAACATATGTTTCTTATTGTTTGTGTGTCAGATGTTTTCATGGTTGAATAATGTTCAAGTTGAATCCATTTTAATCCCCAAAAATCAGCATGTCTCATGGTTTTGTCCCATTTTCCACCATGTTTTCCATGGTTTAACCAAAGTTTAACCCCCCAAAAAAAGACATGTTTTTCGGACATAGCTTTGGACGTCCAACGATCCATCACAGCCAAGGTGAACCTGCTGAAGAGCGAGCAAAAGAGCGCCGAGTTCGAGCAGGTGTCCAGCATGGCCCAGGCGCAGGGGGCGCATAGGCTATTTCAGTATAAAAACTATGGGAAGATAATATGGTGAAAGTGAAGTTATGAACTATATAAGTGGATCTAGAGGGTTTCCCAAAATTCGCAGACAAAACCACAGAGCCAAGATTAGAGTCTAGTTACTGTACTTACTACAGGTAGAGTACAGGTAGAGTACACACACAGTATCATGCAGTGTATACAATGAATTGCATGTCATATGGTGTCGTTTATACAAAGGTTTTCAAACGATAACTGAGTGGGTAGTTTTTGAAGGTGCATGCGGATTGGCCTCACATTGCTTTGAGAGGACCAAGGATACACATGGAGCTTGAGACCGCATGGTCTGCTGTACAGTAGTGTCCTTTTCTTGGATGATCAAAACTTCTTTCTGTAGCGCATGGTTCCTTTGAAGTTGGGGGTATCCCATCAAAATGGCCATATATATATATATTATCTTCTTGATTAGTTATGTATATATATATACACACCCCATTCATACTCACTAACTAATTGTATCATCCCATTTATGTCCAACAATTACGTCTCATTATGTTCATATCCAACAGCTCTTGTTTTATATATATATATATATATTTCCCATTCATATCCACTAATTACATCTAATTACTGTATATGATCCACCCTGATGTTTCATGAAACATCCCCTATTTATGGTTCCTTCCAGTCGCTTGAGCCACCGCCAGGTGCCCACTTTGAGTTTCAACGCTGCCGGACGCCGGCAGAACTTGACGCAGTCCTTGGCCATCATCGAATTCCTGGAGCGATGACATTTGCTGACCTTCAAATAAACTAAGATGGAAACCATTGGACAAAAACATTGGAAAAAACATTGGAAAAAACATCGGAAGATATAGAACATATTGAAAAACATGTCGAAAAACCATTGAAACATGTTGGGAAAAAAATGGCAAAACGTTGGAACACTTTCCTACAGGAAAAGATCAACACATGGTGGATTTTCTCTATATCTATGTTGGATTTCCGGAAGGTGAATTTTTGGGTGAACGGTAGGTTTTGATGGCAGAAAATGTTCACTGGATCGACGCTGGTATGATCTGAGTCACGGGAGTCGTTCAAAATTAAGTCGAAAAAAATGATTTGATAAATTAATAGATTAAATAGGTATTTTGGTTCGGGAAAAAATGTTGGTGAACAAATGTTGTTTCAAAAGCTGTTTCTATTGGTTCCAAGCCCAGTGCAGGACTCAGTCTATACGGACTCTCCTCCCTTGATGCCTCCAGCCGATGGTACACCAGAAGGTGCCCTGGTGATGCGTTGGCCACTTGCAAAAAACTGGTATGACTTCCGTTTTTTGCTATAAATTGGGGATATATGAAATAATATGAATATATATATATATATTAGTAGTATTATCAATATTTATTATTATTATTGTTATTATTATATTACCTTGATCTGGTCAAACTCTTTTGGTCTCTTGAAGTGATTAGGAGGATTCCTCTCAGATGCAAACTTGGAGACCCCAAAATTGGATGGGCCAGGCACCCTGAGAAGAGCACGTGTTATGGAGATTGCCGAGATCATCAACTCTGGCACGTCCCATGGCCAAAGATGTCCGGAAGGCATCCGAATGTTTTTCACTAATGTGGTAAACCCCATATTAAACCATCCCCAATATGTATAGAGCTCTATTCTTGAGTATACAGTATACCCATATTTGGGATGATTATATGTTATCCGTTACAATAGATCTGGGTTATGGTATGGTGAATGTTCTGGGGGCATCCGGGGAATCATTCCCAAATGCAAGTTTCAGGTTGATGAAATATGATCATTTACCCAGACACATGTCATGTGTGTGATGACCAACTGCCAGCTTTATTTGACATATATGACATATTATATGACATACATGCGTCCATAGCATTTTGTAGCCACAGAATATCTCTACCTTGTCGTATGCTTTTTTCGGTGTACCTGTTTGACTACGCGGCGACGCCACAGCACCCCGAGGCAGCCGCTTCAAAATCGACCCATGCTCAGCAGCGTTCCTCGGCGACCACTGAGATGATCCATAGGATACAACCTGTGGGCATCTGTGGGCTATGTCTACTAAGTATACTAGAGATCCTAGTCATAGTCCATTCCGTGATATTCCATTATGTTCCATTCTCTTCCAGTATATTCCATCATGTTCCATTTGTGGAGGATTATCAGCTAGTTACTTCCCTTATGACCAATCAACTTTGGGTGTTTCCCCAGTATGGGAAATTGGGCGGTGGGATGCTGAAACGTGCGAGCATGTCCCGAGCGTCAGAGATCGTCTACCCGCATTGGGGGATACGCATCAATCCATTCACAGGGATTCATATGCCCATGGTACGGATTTCCATTATTAGATGGATGACCATATCCATCCATATCAATCTCATTCAATCTCTATATATCCATCTCCATATCAATATCTTCATCCATGTCTCCATCCCCATATCAATCTCCATCTCCATATCCATCCATATTCCATATAATATATATCATATATATATATATCATATATACGTCATATACGTCATATACGTCATATACATACCGTACACCATACGATGTTTTGACCATATCAAAGTTGGAGGCCGTCGCCCCCAGACCCACCGCAGATCACCTCCGCCGTGGTGGACGGCAAGGACACGGACGGCACGGGCTTTGCCACTGCTGCGGTGATGAAGGGCCTGAAGGCCGTTGGAAAGGGATGAGATAAACAGCAACACGGCCATAGAAATATCAATAGTCATTGAATAGTAATCCAAGATATACTGTAATATATATATATATATGCATGATGATGTCCATAGATTTTCATGGAATGGTAATGATCATAAGATAATTATCCATCAACATCATCATTGAAATCAATCCACCATAGATATACAGAACATTGCAACATTTGGTCCATTCGTTCTCCATGCCCATTGCAAAATCCAGAACAATTCCAGCAGAAACAGCATCGAAAGCGGAATCAAATGCCCTGATGCCAGGCCTGCGAAAGACTTGTGGCTCAATCAGGTGGACAATATGCTGCAGCTTGACATGAGAAATTCCGGGGTGAAACTTCACTGTGTTGAGCTGAATAGAGAGGTTAAGCTTACTTTTGTATAGGGTGAGTTCCTTGAGTAAGAGATAGTAACTGTAGTAGTAGTAGTAGTAGTAGTAGTAGTAGTAGTAGTAGTAGTAGTAGTAGTAGTAGTAGTAGTAGTAGTAGTATAAGTAGTAGTAGTAGTAGTAGTGGTAGTGGTAGTGGTAGTGGTAGTAGTGGTAGTGGTAGTGGTAGTGGTAGTGGTAGTGGTAGTGGTAGTGGTGGTGGTAGTAGTAGTAGTAGTGGTAGTAGTAGTAGCAGATTTGAGTTTTTCAGACAGTGTGACAGTTTCTGTCTTTTTCGAATATGCTCGTTGTATCTCAATGTAAAGTCCTGACATCATATTTTCGATAGTTGTTTTGGCAGATCATGCAGTGAACACCATTCTGCTCAAGTTGGTTCCAAGCAGTAAGGTCGGAGATACTGTCAGCATTGCAGACATTTGCATCTTGGAGTTGAACATGATGCTGTGATGTGTGTTTTGTTTTCTCGGCGTCACATCAAGGTAAATAAAGAACACTGGAGCAAACATATGCGATTTCCATTTAAGCTTCGAGCGGCAATCTGATTGCTGGCACCAGCGGCCAAAACGGCCAAGCCAAATTTGCAGTCGACCAATCATGAGGTTGTTGAAACCTTGGGACCATTGATGCACTCTATGGGATTGTATATCCCCCTATAAAATATAATTGTATTATATATATATACTCTATATAATATGTATATATAATTAACAATATATACATATATACATATCTACATATCTGTACATATCTATATATACACCACCATATACCCGCACTGGACAAAATTGGAAGAGACAGTACTGATATGTCTTTAAAGTTGTAATCCTCGCCGGCTGAGGCATCGTCCCACAGCTCACCAACGCGCGAAGGTTTGGGATCAAGGTCGAGGAGTAGCGTGGCAGACATTGATACCATTGATCTTGCTGGTGGTCCATTAGTGGTTGCAGATATGTTTTCAATGTTTATTTCTGGTTTGATAATCTGAAATATTTGAAATGACCAATGTTGTTCAAACAATTTGCTTGTTGTCATTTGCTGCCTAGAAAAAATAACATGACATCTCCACAATTCTCGATGGTCAAATCCACCATGTCTGATAGAAATTTATGTACATGTTTTCAAGAACCCTCCTCATATCCCGCATCATCCTATATACACATTTGATGGTCTTCAATCCTAATTGTTTCAATGATTTAAAGAACCTCAAAGCCTTCATGTTTGATCATTTTCAATGGTTGGACACACATTCTTTTCCAAAAGAAGAAACCCATATAATTTCTATGGTTGGTTGAAAATCTCTATCATTTCAATAATATGTCAAGATATTTCAATATATTTCAATCCCATAGATTCACCCAAGACTTCACCTTGTGAAAACCCCGAGGTTTCCCCACTTGGCTTCGCTGGAGAAGCGCCTGGCAGAGCTCCCCGCCTTCGCCACCGCAGTGCCCGAGAAGCAGCCTGACGCCGCGTAGCCGCGGAGCGATGGTCGGCCGGCCTGTGTGGTGAATGGCCGATCATGGCGCTGGGAGTCGTGGAGCGGGGAAGAGTCCGCAGCATGGAAAAAATGATGAAAGTGGAATGCAGATTCGAAATCAGATGAATAAAGTAAGTGTCTTTTGGTGCTCAGAATTAGCGGAGACCGGATACCAAACAATAGATGTGTAATATCAAGACTTCGCAATCGTGCCAATTTGTAAGCCATCTTGAAGCCAAGGCAGGCCGGATTTGTTGAAGGATTCAGACCCACAGGCTCCACAAGTCATTTGAAAAATTGAAGTCCGCAAAGATGTACACCAACTGCTGGCGAATGCGTTCAGACGCTTCTGCCCAGTTCACAGGAATGATGTCAAGCCACACTGGTGTAGATTTGCAGCGTACCACTATCAAAGTGTGGGATTAACCTTGGAAAGTCTGCGCTTTGTCTTGGGCCCCATGAACAGGACTTTCATGATATTAGTCCTGTTGTCAAAGGATGACATTGTTGAAGCCATAAACAGGGGCTTGAAAATTGAAATGGTTTTGCCAAGAACATTCTGACTTTGAACGCGCAACTGGTCAACCAGTTGTTACACACGATATATGGTGGCTATCAAAATACATCGCTTTTGCATGTCTACCCAGCATGAGCCACCCAAGTCCCTATTTTTGTTTGATGGATTGAAATCATCAACCACATGTCATTCCACATCAACTTCTCAACTCGCATCTCTAGAGTCTAGAGTTCACTACATCATTATCATCATTCCTGTTTTAGGTGACTTGGTTCGTATCTGGCGATTGGCCAAGTGCAACCGCCCAACCGTATCTCCATAAGTTGAGGCGCTGCGGGCAAATAGACGTCCAGTCATCCGAAGTGCCGTGGTTCGGGTGACTCCGATAGAAATACGATCAAGAGCTGAATATTAGACACAAACAAGACAATTAAAAAAATTGTTTCTTTGCTTGGAACTTGTGGAGAGCAAGTAATGTGTTGACGATATAGTTGCCAAAATGGCAATGCCATTTTGGCTCAAGCTGTTCCCCCTGCGATCCAATACTTTCGAAAACACGCTCCGACCCTTTTGTTTTGTCCATGGCGGCTTCTAGTCCTGTGGCTAGCGAGACTGGCACCGTGGGCTCCTTCTCGTTGATTGGGACGGAGTTGGACGCAGGGGATGATTACATGGTTCTTTCCACCCAGGTGACCGAGGCTGCGCCAGCCGAGGTTACGACCGAGATTGAAGATGATCCCGCCATCACCAGGGAGACTCTGGCTTCGCAGCTCCATGAGATGGAGAAAGTGATGGCAAACTTGGGTTTGGAACCCAAGCCGGAGACAGGTGTGGAATCGTCAAGTGGGCCACCCCCGTCGGGGTTCGTTCACGCAGAGGCAAAGATTCAGACCCAGACATCACGGGCCTTAGAGAAGGAGACGTTGACACTCCACATGGATCCGACCACAGAGACCTTCACCATCGAAGGCTGGGCACCTTTGATTCCGGCCCTGCCTCACTCGGCTGCCAAGTATTTCAGAGACATTACGCATGGTGAGCTGCATTCTCTTTTGGATGCTTTCCGCAGTTCTCCATGGACGGCATCCTTGGTGGTCAAGATCGCAGAGGTTTACCACATTTCGAAGCGCGAGGCTGTCCACACACAGATGTTGAAACTCCGACACACCACTCAGCGTGGGGGATCCATGGTGAATTTGAAAGAGAAGGACCCTGGAACTTCTCCGCAATTAGTCTGTTCTGATTGCAATGCACCGTGGGGTCAGTTATCCAAATGTTTGCTTTGTCAAGGCTCTCAGCCTGTTGATCTGTCAATGACACCTTTGTCAGTGATTGAGGTGGCCGGCCAGTCCTGGCAACTTAGGCTCACTGAGGCGGGACCGACTTGGGTCCCCACAGATACTAAGGTTACTAAGGCCTCAGGCTTTGTGGAAGTGGGAGATCTTGGCCGACCTCCCCCTGCGGCAGCTTCGGGCGCCGATACGGGGCTGGTTAGCTTTTCGGAGCAAGTTCCTGCCTCCCAGCGCATGACACTGCAGCAGCACGTGGTGGCTTTTGGGCAGGACGACATCTTTCATCCAGATGGCGAACGCCCCCCCACTATGGATGATCGAGACTCTACTCAAACTGCTGTGATCTTCCACCCCAAGACCATTGAACTGATGCGTTTCAAGGTAGGTAGACTTGCTGGCCACCCCAGAAGAAGAGCTTACGGAAGCGGCACAGGAGGCCAAGAGGAGGAAGAAGGAAATTCAACACCAGCAAGAGACTGTGGCGATGGATGATGAGCTGCATACACTGACTGCCATCCAGCAGGGTGCACAGGAAACCCAGAATCCGGTCAGTGCCAAGATGCTACGCCACGCTGACCTCCAGCAGTTCAGGTCCTACCTCAAAAGAAAACATGAAGAAAGTGGCCTCACCTCCTCCTACGAGGCCTTGGTGGCGGCCCAAACCACACAGGAGAGAGCGGCAGCCGCCAACAAGGCACTGGACACAGAGTTCAGGGATCGACGCAAGGCCCTCAAGCCCATTGAAGTGGCGTCCTTTTCACTGTGGACACCGGCCCTGCAAGAAGCATGGCAGAACAACCTCTTCGCGCCGGCCATGGGCCCTCAGGGCCCGGAACAATTTGACATGGAGGCACTGAAGCAACCCTACCTCCGAATGAAAGAACTCATCAAGGATAACAAGCCTCCGCTTTCCCAAGACCGCCTCATGACGGAGTTCCCCAAGATGCAACTCGACATGTACACCACGGGGACGGAGATGATATCTTCCCAAGAGGCCCAGTTAGCACGACTCCTTCCGCCAGACAGCCTGGAACGCAAGTACGCAATCCTTGACTCCATCTTGCAGTACCACAAAGGTGAAGTCCGAGCCTGGGGCGGAGAGTGGGAACTGCGACAGGGCCCGCTCACGGCACCTGCCTGGGCAAAACCGGCACCCACGACTGAGGTCTTGGCTTTGGAACTCAGGACAAACCCGCTGGGCACCTCCTTCTACACGCCCACAACCTACACAGAACAGGTGGTCCTGCAACAGATTTCCGAGGGCAAGCGACCCGCCTTGGACAAGATCATTGGCTTCTTCTGAGCTCCGGGGACGGCGGTAGCTTCTGGCACCGACGACACCCACCTGGTTCGGAGGGTGCAATCATGGGACCTTCCTTCAATGATCACGATGCTTGGACAGTCCTGGACGTTCAAAGAGCTCTACCAGGCTTGGTGTGGTATGCCGCTGATCGTCAAACCGATGCGCAGAGGGCATGGGGAAGGCATCCGCCAGAAGAAGATGGCAGAGTTGGCGGCACACCGGCAGAGGACTTCCGAGATCAAGTCCTTCCTCACCAGTGTGGGCCTCCGTTTCCCCAATCACAACATGAAATCAAGCTGCTCTACAAGGAAATCGGCAGCTTTTTGGCTGCCTCGGTTTTCTTAGCCAGAACCCCAGCGGTGGTCTTGGACTTGCCCGAGCAGGACATCCAGGACACAAAGGAGCAGCTCCGTTTTCGAGCGGTTTGTGATGAGCGCATCACCTTGCCCTTGGATGCTTTCAGGCAGCTCCCGGACGTCTTCCAGGCGCTGTCAGCCACTCTGGGGGCCCACAGCATGGTGCAAGTGCAAGTTGCCTGGCGGTGCAACTGTGAGCTATGGTGGGTTGCCCTGGTTCCCCATGAGAAGGCGGAGAGCTTTTATTGCCGTCTGGGCTACTCCCAGGCAGAGATTGATGGCTTCCTGAAGACTGCGCTGGAACCGGTGGCTCTGCAGGCGACTACGGTAGCTTCGGGCACCGGTAAGTACCCAGAGCTCTCCTTGGAGAACGTGGTGTCCATCTGCAGCCCCAAGTACAAGAGGGAGCACTACGGCCACCGGGGAGTCCATGCTTTTTGGGGCCGCACGGATTGCGGGCTCATCCTCAGCAGCATCAGTCCATGGGAACTGAAGACGAAGGAGGCTGGAGTGACTCGTGGAGGATGGGTCTGCAAGGCCTGCCAGGGCTTTTGGCGACAAGGGAAAGGAGCTTCCCGCTTTGTCCAATTGCTTGGAGAACACAGGGGAGTCAAAGTCAATCTCCAACTCATCCTGGATGAGCCACCCCAACAGCTGTATAACAGCTGGGTGAAGTCAAGGCTTGAGTACTACAAGCGAGTGGAGCCGATTGCGGCCCCGCGAGATGTGGCCTTGCAAGTTGACCCTGACCACACCCAACGCTTGAAGTTTTCTTGCCAGAATGGCCATGCCAATGTCTCCAACGCCATTTGGTCGGTCCTGCTGAGCAACCCTGACCTCGAGGGCCTGCAGAAGATCAACGCGCTGGCAGCAAGCAGAGTCCGCACTACCTGAGAGTAGAGTTTTTGCGAAGGGCTGTTTTACTGACCTGGTGGCCTGGTAGCGTCTTGCACCAACGTCACCACTCGGTTCTGCAGACACCTTCTCCTTTTGTATGAATATCATTGGTTGCGCACCACGACAAGGGCCAAGACAGAGGCCAGACCGCTGGGATGCCAGCTCACACAGTGAAAAAGGGAAACCTGCACGTGGCTGCCTCAGAATCATTTACAGCACACTGCTGTTTGACCATTGCTGTGTTTTACCATGTTTGACCTTGGTTTGATGTTTTTGTTATCCTTTCGGGCTCCGCCCATTACGCTGATGTGACTGATGTCCATATGACTTGCACTCAGTTTTGTCCAATTGCAACCCGGATAGTTTTTCCTGGGCTTTCGGTGTTGTTCTTCCAGCTTGCTTTTTCATGTGTTAGTGCTCCGCACACCCGCAGTACCCTTTTGGGCCAGGCTTGGCCATAGTAGAGTCGGGACATCATGGAACCCGATCTTGTGCGTAGAACACCTTTTGGCCTGGCAATGGTTCGGCTCCCGGAACACATGCGAGATAGCCTGCTGGACCATGGAATCTTCCCCACACAAACGGAAGGGGAGTTGTTCATGCAGCTCTGCATGCAACAAGTGCCACCGGACC